ACACTTGGAGTGATGACACCAGACATCCTGGATTTGAGGAAGGTAGTGATCCTTGAGTCTGGGGTAGTAGACTAGTCAGCCATCTTGACTATGGATCTGGAGATGTAGACTTTCAAAATAATATTAACAAAGCATTACGGTTTCCTTTAGGATTAAATTGGTCAAATTTAGATTTTGTCTTTCAAAAACATTGTCAGGAGCGGGATTTGAACCCACGCCTCCAATTGGAGACCTGGGGCCTCATTTATAAAGGTCTCTGCGCACGAAAATGTTGCGGAAACAGGGCTGAAATGTGCGTACGCATCTTTCACCGCCAACGTCGTGATTTATAGAAAAAAACCTTGCGGAAAAGAGTGCGCAGTTCTACGCATCCTTTCACCCTGGAGTAAAGCTCCTGCAAAGTTATTCAAACAGTGAACTCCGGAGACGACCACAGGAAGAAGGTGGCGGTAATGCACTATATGTGTTTGCAAACCGCCAATAACACCAAAAGAAGAAGAAGACGCTGTAACCCCCGGAGCTCATTGCAGACCCAACGCACATTACGCACCACATGAGTTATTTATTCATTTATATATTTATTTTATGAAAAGCACCCATTACGAAATATGAATTAAAGCAACATTATGTTCAACACACTACAGCCCTTTCAAATCACAATCCTCGGCCAGACCAACTGTATCACTTTAAACATTTAAATAATGAGCTTGATAAATAAGCCACAAAATAGACTTGCGTTCTCATTTAGAAGCACTTCGATCTCCGAATCCCAAAAACGCCTTCTTTTTAAAAGGTGCCATTTTTCCGTCCAATGATTGGTCAGAAAAGGCTCCTTCCTACTTATAAATATTAAGTCATTAATTAGCATTGACCTTTTAAGGACTATTAAGGGATGGACTTGGGAGGAGCAGAGCGCACGCCAAATTAGACGCACGTTGGTATTTATAACGAGAAGAGTGCGTACCGGTGTGCGCAGCAAGGTTTTATAAATCGGAATGATTTTGTGCGTACGCACATTCTGAGGTTTGGGCGTACGCAATGTTCTACGGAGGGTTTCACGCAGAGGTTTATAAATGAGGCCCCTGAACTCCCGGATTTTAGGAAGGTACTTAACCTTGAGTCTGGCACCTTTGACCACTCAGGCATTCTGACAATGGATCTGGAGATGTAGACTTTCAAAATAATATTAACAAAGCATTACGGTTTCCTTTATAAATGAATTGGTCAAATTTAGATTTTGTCTTCCGAAGTAATTGTCAGGAGTGGGATTTGAACCCACGCCTCCACTTGGAGACCAGAAATCCCGGATTTTTGGAAGGTACTTAACCTTGAGTCTGGCGCCTTAGACCACTCGGCCATCCTGACTACAAACAAGAAGAGGTAGGCTTTCCAAATAACATGAACAAAGCCTAAAAGTTTCTAAAATGACTTGAGAGGTAAAACTTAAAATGTTGTGTTGGCAGGAGCAGGTTTTGATCACAACCCTACAGTTGGACTGGTGAGAACAGAAAACCCAGATTTGAGGAAGGTGGTGATCCTTGAGTCTGAGTCTGGCGCCTTAGACCTCACGGCGATCGTACCTACTAGTCAACAGACTACTGAGCCATCTTGACTATGGATCGGGAGATATACACTTTCAAAATAATTGTAACAAAGCATTACAGATTCCTTTGTGATTAAATTGGTCAAATTTAGATTTTGTCTTTCAAAGCAATTGTCAGGAGTGGGATTTGAACCCACGCCTCTATTCGGAGACCAGAAATCCCAGATTTGAGGAAGGTACTGATGACTTGAGTCTGGCGCCTTAGACCGCTCGGCCATCCTGACTCGACAGCAGAAGAAGTAAACTTTCAAAAAAATGTGAACAAAGCCTAAACGATTCTATAATGACTTAAGAGGTAAAACTTAAAATGTCGTGTTGGCAGGAGCAGGTTTTGAACCCACCCCTACATTTGGAGTGATGACACCAGACATCCTGGATTTGAGGAAGGTAGTGATCCTTGAGTCTGGGGTAGTAGACTAGTCAGCCATCTTGAGTATGGATCTGGAGATGTAGACTTTCAAAATAATATTAACAAAGCATTACTGTTTCCTTTATAAATGAATTGGTCAAATTTAGATTTTGTCTTCCAAAGTAATTGTCAGGAGTGGGATTTGAACCCACGCCTCCACTTGGAGACCAGAAATCCCGGATTTTTGGAAGGTACTTAACCTTGAGTCTGGCGCCTTAGACCACTCGGCCATCCTGACTACAAACAAGAAGAGGTAGGCTTTCCAAATAACATGAACAAAGCCTAAAAGTTTCTAAAATGACTTGAGAGGTAAAACTTAAAATGTGTTGGCAGGAGCAGGTTTTGATCACACCCCTACAGTTGGACTGGTGAGAACAGAAAACCCAGATTTGAGGAAGGTGGTGATCCTTGAGTCTGAGTCTGGCGCCTTAGACCTCACGGCGATCGTACCTACTAGTCAACAGACTACTCAGCCATCTTGACTATGGATCGGGAGATATACACTTTCAAAATAATCGTAACAAAGCTTCACAGATTCCTTTGTGATTAAACTGGTCTAATTTTGATTTTGTCTTTCAAAGCAATTGTCAGGTGTGAGATGTGAACCCACGCCTCCATTTGGAGACCAGAAACCCCAGATTTGAGGAAGGTATTGATGCCTTGAGTCTGGTGCCTTAGACCGCTCGGCCATCCTGACTAGACAGTAGAAGAAGTAAACTTTCAAAAAAATGTGAACAAAGCCTAAACGATTCTATAATGACTTAAGAGGTAAAACTTAAAATGTCGTGTTGGCAGGAGCAGGTTTTGAACCAACCCCTACACTTGGAGTGATGACACCAGACATCCTGGATTTGAGGAAGGTAGTGATCCTTGAGTCTGGGGTAGTAGACTAGTCAGCCATCTTGACTATGGATCTGGAGATGTAGACTTCCCAAATAATATTAACAAAGCATTACGGTTTCCTTTAGGATTAAATTGGTCAAATTTAGATTTTGTCTTTCAAAAAAATTGTCAGGAGTGGGATTTGAACCCACGCCTCCAATTGGAGACCTGAACTCCCGGATTTTAGGAAGGTACTTAACCTTGAGTCTGGCACCTTTGACCACTCAGGCATCCTGACAATGGATCTGGAGATGTAGACTTTCAAAATAATATTAACAAAGCATTACGGTTTCCTTTATAAATGAATTGGTCAAATTTAGATTTTGTCTTCCAAAGTAATTGTCAGGAGTGGGATTTGAACCCACGCCTCAACTTGGAGACCAGAAATCCCGGATTTTTGGAAGGTACTTAACCTTGAGTCTGGCGCCTTAGACCACTCGGCCATCCTGACTACAAACAAGAAGAGGTAGGCTTTCCAAATAACATGAACAAAGCCTAAAAGTTTCTAAAATGACTTGAGAGGTAAAACTTAAAATGTTGTGTTGGCAGGAGCAGGTTTTGATCACAACCCTACAGTTGGACTGGTGAGAACAGAAAACCCAGATTTGAGGAAGGTGGTGATCCTTGAGTCTGAGTCTGGTGCCTTAGACCTCACGGCGATCATACCTACTAGTCAACAGACTACTGAGCCATCTTGACTATGGATCGGGAGATATACACTTTCAAAATAATTGTAACAAAGCATTACAGATTCCTCTGTGATTAAATTGGTCAAATTTAGATTTTGTTTTTCAAAGCAATTGTCAGGAGTGGGATTTGAACCCACGCCTCTATTCGGAGACCAGAAATCCCAGATTTGAGGAAGGTACTGATGACTTGAGTCTGGCGCCTTAGACCGCTCGGCCATCCTGACTCGACAGCAGAAGAAGTAAACTTTCAAAAAAATGTGAACAAAGCCTAAACGATTCTATAATGACTTAAGAGGTAAAACTTAAAATGTCGTGTTGGCAGGAGCAGGTTTTGAACCCACCCCTACATTTGGAGTGATGACACCAGACATCCTGGATTTGAGGAAGGTAGTGATCCTTGAGTCTGGGGTAGTAGACTAGTCAGCCATCTTGAGTATGGATCTGGAGATGTAGACTTTCAAAATAATATTAACAAAGCATTACTGTTTCCTTTATAAATGAATTGGTCAAATTTAGATTTTGTCTTCCAAAGTAATTGTCAGGAGTGGGATTTGAACCCACGCCTCCACTTGGAGACCAGAAATCCCGGATTTTTGGAAGGCACTTAACCTTGAGTCTGGCGCCTTAGACCACTCGGCCATCCTGACTACGAACAAGAAGAGGTAGGCTTTCCAAATAACATGAACAAAGCCTAAAAGTTTCTAAAATGACTTGAAAGGTAAAACTTAAAATGTGTTGGCAGGAGCAGGTTTTGATCACACCCCTACAGTTGGACTGGTGAGAACAGAAAACCCAGATTTGAGGAAGGTGGTGATCCTTGAGTCTGAGTCTGGCGCCTTAGACCTCACGGCGATCGTACCTACTAGTCAACAGACTACTCAGCCATCTTGACTATGGATCGGGAGATATACACTTTCAAAATAATCGTAACAAAGCTTCACAGATTCCTTTGTGATTAAACTGGTCTAATTTTGATTTTGTCTTTCAAAGCAATTGTCAGGTGTGAGATTTGAACCCACGCCTCCATTTGGAGACCAGAAACCCCAGATTTGAGGAAGGCATTGATGCCTTGAGTCTGGCGCCTTAGACCGCTCGGCCATCCTGACTAGACAGTAGAAGAAGTAAACTTTCAAAAAAATGTGAACAAAGCCTAAACGATTCTATAATGACTTAAGAGGTAAAACTTAAAATGTCGTGTTGGCAGGAGCAGGTTTTGAACCAACCCCTACACTTGGAGTGATGACACCAGACATCCTGGATTTGAGGAAGGTAGTGATCCTTGAGTCTGGGGTAGTAGACTAGTCAGCCATCTTGACTATGGATCTGGAGATGTAGACTTTCCAAATAATATTAACAAAGCATTACGGTTTCCTTTAGGATTAAATTGGTCAAATTTAGATTTTGTCTTCCAAAGCAATTGTCAGGAGTGGGATTTGAACCCACGCCTCCACTTGGAGACCAGAAATCCAGGATTTTAGGACGGTTCTAACCTTGAGTCTGGCGCCTTAGACCACGCGGCTATCCTGAATACGTACAATACGAGGTAGGCTTTCCAAATAACGTGAACAAAGCCTAAAAGTTTCTAAAATGACTTGAGAGGTAAAACTTAAAATGTTGTGTTGGCAGGAGCAGGGGCCTCATGTACGAAGTTTGCGTACACACAAAAACGTGGCGTACGTCCTTTTCCACGCTCACGTTCAGATGTATGAAACGTGAAATGACCGTGGAAATGTGCGGTGCCCCACGTCAACTTCATGGCTGGCGTACGCACGTTTCTACAGCTATTGTTCCTTTGGCAACACTTATAGGTGATGCTGGGAAACTGTTAATAATGTCAAAAACAATTAGTCATCAGAGTGATGTGCACATTAGAGACACACTTACGAACAACTAACACACCCACCGTGTTTGCAATTATATGGGTGGATATAAAAGCATGCGCAATGTGATGAAGAACATGGTATTAACGATGGCGGTGTTAGCGTTGTTAGAGGACCTTGCAAATGGTGCAATCGACGCAAGCGAGTATTTATGGAACGCGAGGATTTACTTGCAAACGATGACAATTGGCTCATAAGCCGATTTCGAATGTGCAACAAAGTATGCGGGAGTTATTAGCGTTACGGAATTTGCTCAAAAACAGCGCCACCTAGTGGTCTTCCTAGTATGCGGCATGAAAGTGACGCATAGAATATATTCCTCCGCTTCACCTCCACCTTCAGATCCGACCACTTCTTCTTCACCTGTGTGTGTGTGCGCTGCTTGGACCCCAAGGCATTTACAGCCTCACACATACGCTCCCACTCATTTCTTGTTCTCTTCATATTGATCCCTGCTGACAGGGGACCAGAGAGAATCTCCCTCCGCGGCTCCACGTCATTCACCACAATCTCCAACTCGGACTCTGTGAAATGTCTTTTCTTTCCTTTGTTCATGCTTGTGTTACACCCAAGGGCGTCACCAGCTTTTTGAAAGTGGGGGGGACATATTTTGACGGGGGGTTTGGGGCTCCTCCCCCCGAAAAATTTGAAAGAAGTAGATGCAATTTCCCACATTCTGGTGCATTTTACCATGTTTTTAGATTTAGAATGATCTCCCTCTTTCATTGATTTTCCTTGGAGCTGGCATGGTCTGCAATTACTGACTACTATTATGTTCTGGTGTAATACACAGTAGTGTTGCACGGTGCACCAATACTTCAAAAGTACCGCGATTCTCTGGGGGGGGCGCGATCGTAACCCACCCGGACCTACGACCGGTGGGGGGGGGGCGGGAGGGTTGTGCGCGATCGTAACACACCCCGGACCTACGACCGACGGGGGGAGGCGCGCGATCATAACACACCCCGGACCGATGACCGACGGGGCGGGGGGTGGCGATTGTAACACACCGCCTCCGGTTAGGACAAATGACTTTTAAAAAAAAGAAATTATTATGACAGTCCTGGGCCGGCCCAAAGATGTGCATCGCCCGGTGGGCCGATGGCCAGTCCAGCCCTGGCTGCGGCGCCAGTGTGTTTTGCACTTCACACTGCCGCCGCAGCGCCGCGGTAAAGCACAACAATGTTATTCGAGTGTTTCTCCTTGTCCAGGAAAAGTATTGAAATCGCAATTCTCAACTTGGTATCGGTATCGAAGCGATAATTTTTGGTATCCTGACAACACTAATACACAGAGTGTATGTGTACACAGTGACTGTGTTCAGCGTTCAGTCTGTGTTTCTGAAGTCTATCGCTGTCGTTGACCCGACTCTCAACATAGGCGTGCTTCGGTGCATGTTTTGAATGCGTGCGTGATGCTGCTTTGTGTGTTAACAAAAACAGGAAAACGCGGAGTGGATTTCTATTTATATGGGTATTCCCCCTACTGATAAAGTGGAACGGATTTGATTGTGAAGCAATGGAGAGAGCGCTGGACTAGTAGACCAGTCATGCGCTAATATTTTTGATGGCAAATGTGGGGGGGTCCAAACGACTTGTTTGCAAGGGTGGGGTGGACGTGTCCCCCCCCAATTATATTATGGTGACGCCCATGGTTACACCCATAGAGTGCAAGCTGACTCAAGGGTTGGCATATTTTAGAAAAGATGTTATTCTGAAAGAATAAATTAAACAAAAAGACAAGTGAGTCGGCTGGTCTTCAGTGGCTTTACTGGTCCCGGTTAACTGCCAACTGAAGAACGCAGCGCAGCCCACAGTTTATATAGCGGCGGGTGGTCTCGTGCCTTTAATACTTAATAATAACAATAACAATAACAACAACAACAACAACAACAATAATAATAATAATAATAATAACAATAATAATAATAATAATAACAATAACAATAATAATAATGCTTAAAATTGAATGGGGGGTGTCTGTAAAAATGCAAAATAAAGTCCATACATATAAAATAACACATTTAAGTAAGTGGCAATAATATATAAATATCCTCTGTGCCACACTTGCTTGTTTTATCTGATCGGATAGAGGTGAATCTCAGGTCCAGGGCCTATTTAAATAGATTTGCATATTTAAATGCGGGCGTGGACAGGGAGGAGTTTGCCACATCTGCATGTGTGCTCAATTCCACGTTGATCGGGATGTACAGAAGAAACGCGCTTGGATCCATGCGTACGCACACTTTCATACATCTGAATTTATTTTTGCGTACGGCAGTTTCTGGGTTTTGGCGTACGCCAAGTTTCAGTAGGAAATCCATGCAAGTCTTTGTCCAGACCTCTCGGCCATCCAGCCTACTAATCACCGGACTACTCAGCCATCTTAACTATGGATCTGGAGATGTAGACTTTCAAAATAATATTAACAAAGGATTACAGTTTCCTTTTTGATTAAATAGGTCAAATTTAGATTTTGTCTTTCAAAGTAATGTCAGGAATGGGATTTGAACCTACACATCAACATTAGAGACAGCTATGAAGATGGTTTTGATGCACACATTTCACACATTACACTTGGCCATCCTGCCCACCAATAAAGAGCAGTAAAACCTTGAAATAACATTCACTGATGCCAGAATGTTTGTCATTGATCAGAGCCTCAAAGTTTCCTCTGTGAATTATCAGGTCAAGTTTAAATAATTTCGTTTTAAATGTAATGTCAGCAGTGGGATTTGAACCCACGCCTCCACTTGGAACAAGTAAAACCTCAAACTTGGAGACCAGAAACTCCAGCTTTGAGGAAGGTGGGTGCGACCCCTGAGCATCGCCCCCTTGACCCCTCAACCCTGACTACAAACAAGAAGGAATAGAAACCTCAAAATAACGTCCACTGACACTAAAAATGTGGAGAAGGTTAGTGATACAAGACAAGTGGGACCAACATGTGCACACGGACAAGGGCGACACCTTGTGGTCACGCGGCAAACGACGCGCACGCGCCCTGCATTTGCATTGTGGTTTCCATGGCTACTGGGACGCCGCCGTGTTAATGTCGGGAGGAGACGTGGGTGAGTTAGCTGGTCTTCATGTTTTCAACTGAAACACAAACTATTTTATTTAGGAGTGGTTCGCCGCAAACGTATCTGGTCGTGTAACTTAATTTAATTTAAACGACCGTATTATTTGGGAGAAAGAAAAAAAAACCGACTCGAGAGCTATCCCTGTACGTGTAGCCTACCTGTTTATGTTGACCCACATTGCTAAAACACATACAGTGACAACATATTCATATTTATATAATTTACGTAGCCTTGTTGTCATTTATACCCATTTATAAGTATTGTAATCATTCCCCAACAAAGATGAATGTTGATAAGAGATGGCATACGTGAGGCCATCTCGTCCCAGTCCAAACGTACACAACTGTAGAAAGTGTGGGCTATGTTCAAGTTCACCATTCTTCTTCTTGTTATTGTTCTTGTTCTTGTTCTTCTTGTTCTTGTCCTTCTTGTTCTTCTTGTTCTTGTTCTTCTTGTTCTTGTTCTTCTTGTTCTTGTTGTTCTTCTTCTTGTTCTTCTTCTTCTTCTTGTTCTTCTTCTTCTTCTTCTTCTTCTTCTTCTTCTTCTTCTTCTTCTTCTTCTTCTTCTTCTTCTATATATATATATATATATATATATATATATATATATATATATATATTATTATTTTTTATTATTATTTTTTTTAATGTATTATTTGTTTTATTTTTTTTTAAACCTGTATAAATGTTGTTGCTGTGCCCATAGGTGACTGACCTCATCCAGATGTGAACAACACAAACAAACGCAACAACCACCGGAACCACCGACTTCTCCACCACGACCGGACCGCCTGGAGGACGACCCGGGAGAGAGGAGGTCAGAGGTCGGAGGCTGGAGGCCGACACGGGAGAGAGGAGGTTGGAGGCTGGAGGCCGACACGGGAGAGAGGAGGTCAGAGGTCGGAGGCTGGAGGCTGGAGGCTGGAGGCCGACACAGGAGAGAGGAGGTCGGAGGCTGGAGGCCGACACGGGAGAGAGGAGGTCGGGGGTCCAGCATGAGGGCGACGTGTGGGACAGCCTCGAGGGCTCAGCCGGTTCCGGGTTTGAAGCGAGGGGCTCAATGCCTTTCCCCACTGGGGGTCCAGAGGCAGGTCGGGGAATGGGTGGAGCGGAGGCACCCGGGTAAGTGTTGTTATTTTGTTGTTGTTGTTGTTCAAACCACACGCATGCGTATGCAGCGCCCATGCCCCAGTCACAGCTAGAACTGGGTGCGAAGACTAGATGTCACTGCAGGTCAGGTCAGGTGTCCCTCAGCACAGTGGTCCCCAACTTTTTTCTTAAGGGATCCCTATTTTATCATTGTATTGACGACGACCCCCCCCCCCCCCTCACAAATACAATTACAAAAAAAGGGGGAAAAGGTAGTCTACTTATTTTGAAATATCTATATTGTATATAATGGCATATTAGATATATGTATATTTCATTATATATTAATTGCATAAAAAACAATAACAGAACAGAACAATTAGCTGTACAATGAACCTAAATAGTGAACCTACATGCAGGAAATGTGTATACAATTCTGATCCGATTATTTCCTGTGTGTATTTTTCCTTATATTTTT